ACAATTTCTGCGACAAACTTTCATAAAAATTTGTGCGTTTTTAGAAACAAAAATTTGGAATATAGTGTGGCAAAAAAGAAGAATTTAATGTTTTACACACACATACATACATATTCAAATATATATTTAAATGTGCAGAATATATATATATATATATATATATATATATATATATGTCCCAGCCATTCAAAAATGGAAAGTAACTTTTAATTTATTTTTTTATACAATTTCTGTGTAAATCTAATTTTTTTTCTTTTCGGATGATAAATTAGATATTTTTTTCAGCTATACATTAAGCCATTTGCAAGGATAAAAAGAATATTTATGAGTTTTTATATAATTTATCATCCGAAAAGATAAAAAATTATTAACTTCGCATGAGAAAGTATATAAAAAAACTAAATCAAAAGCATATTTTATGTGATTTTCAATGAAATGTGCATGAAAAGAAGGATTGCTGCCTAAATACACACACACATACACACACATAAACACAGAATATATATATATATATATATATATATATATATATATATATATATATATATATTTATTTGTGAAAGAAATTTAGTTTTAAGAAGTGTGATATACTTATGGGAAAAAGTTCTCAGATTCAGAGATAGTAGTATGTAAATATAAAAAAGTAAAAAAGTCAACAGAGAGGACAACAGGCGTGTTTCCAATACTAGACGTCCAATCAGACGGGCCACTCAGGGCGTCGTTATTGAACAATCTGTTCTTGATTCAATTAATAAGGACTTGATATATTATATATATAAATATATATATATATATATATATATATATATATATGAATATATTATATATGTAAATTAAAATTGCATGTGGGTCTGAGGTTTGGATCGATTTGGATTCTGGAATAAATTATAACCATAGAATATTAGTTTTTTAAGCCTTTTTATTATATCCTTACTCTGTCCTGGACATTGAGTTCTACCTGGATTCTATCATCTTTGAATTTTTTTATTCAAAAAATATATATATTATGTGTATGCATGTATGTATATATATTTATATATTTTGCATATGTTATATGTATATTTACCACTAATATTATATATATATATATATATATATATATATATATATATATATATATATATATATATATATATATTTATATATTTATACTCAATAATCGCACATTAAAGTATTGATATATTCACTACTTGAAATGTTTTGAATCCAAAAAATTTTAAATGAATATTAAATTCATAAATTAATTTATTTATAGATAAACAAATCTTTTAAAATTTAGATGTCAAATTTGTTAAAAATGTAAAGAAAAAAAAAAATATAATATATATATATATATATATATATATATAAAATAAACGATACATCAAATCGTCTTTAAGTGGCAGATTGTTTTTATCGTTGAACTTTGAAAAAGGTAATTTTAAAACATTAATTCATTACTTAAATGCAAATATCAATTTTGAGTTCAAAAATAGTTTATTATTTGCCTATCGCATATACTCCTCCTAGCTATTATAATGATAGCCAAACCAAATTCCTCCACAGATTTTAGGTTAAATTTCGTCCGATAGACTATTTTAATCAATAGCTTAAAATTTTAAACTATAATGCAATTTTAGATACAAATAAAAATAAGTTTTATCCTTGAACCATGAAATTTAAAGATAATGGCTAGTATAATATATTAATATATATATTTAACCTCGTATAATCTGCCAACTCTGAATCTGAGGTCAACAAAAATCGCGCACTGTGCCTAACTTTTCTAGGGCTTTTGAGTTAGCTATGAATCATTAAAATCAGTTTAAAGTGTTGGATGAGTCTAATGGTGATTACGAATGCGTTTAGAATGATCACTGGTAATGGCAATATTATGAGTTTATTTATCTTCCACAGAGCCTCAGACTCAACACGGAGGTCTACATCAAGTGTCCTGAAGAGGTAGTGCTGCCCTGGGTCAAGAGGATAGCTAAACTAAAACCAATGGAATAAATTATGACCATGGAATATTAGTGTTTTAAGCCTTTTATTATATATATATATATATATATATATATAAAAAAATCATATTTTTTAAATAAAATAATTATAATTATATATATATATATATATATATATATATATATATATATATAATAAATTATTTTTTAAAAAAATATAATTCCTTCGCAACAAGGAATTCTATGTTTCAAAATCAGAAGCTAAAAATTATAAATTCAATATATAGAAATTAAATTAAAATATATCGTTCTGTAAATTATTTTAAAAGCGAAAAATGAAATCTTTTTGAAAAAGAATTTTGGAAAGATTATGGTTTAATCTATTTAGTAAAAAACAATGAAACGATGAGACCTAACAGCCAATCTAGTTTATACGATTGAATGGTCGAATAGTCGAGAATATACTCCAGATATAAATAATCAGAACAATTAGCATGAAAATATTTGCAGAAAAGACAGAAGTGATAAACCCCGGTATGTCGGTGGGAAAGTGATTGAAACCGAGATTCTTGGTCAGAATCGATTAAATTACAGACCCTTCTTGGAATTTTCTCAAGAATATCGAAATATATAATAGGAACAACAGACCAGACAACAATATTGTTTTATTTTTAGGGCAAACCATCATGACTTTTGAAAAAAATAATGAGATAAAAGAATGAATTTGTGAAAATAGAAATATGGATTAAATAAAGATTCAATTGAGATCTCTTAAAGCCATGCGCTATATATAGAATTATTTTAATTCAAACAGTGGGAAGGGAAAGAAAATTATTTATATTTTTTTTTATTTTCACCCTGAACCAAGTCACCAATACTACTACTTCATCAGGAAGTTATATAGGTCGTGAATTCCTCTAAAAGAATTTGGTGAATCCTTTTCAGGAAAAGGACAAGGACAATAAAATAAACCAAGTTTAGGAACATTTTTAAGATGGCGATTAATAAATAAGGGAAAAAATAAATATGTAAATAGTTTAAAATTATATATAAAAATAAAATATATATAATATAAATGATGGTGGCAAACAAGTTCAACGGTGGCTTTGGTGGGACCTAACTGCCAGTCAATAGTATATTCATGCATTTGAAGCACCAAGAAGATCAGCCGGTTTAAGATTTAAAATATCAGGATCTTCAACATTTTTCAACCAAATCGAAAAAGAAGTTTTTTAAGAATAAAATTTTCTGAAATTGTTCTTTCTTATTGAATTTTCTAGTTATTTTCAAATTTTTTTAAATTTCTCTATTTTAAAAATAAAATATGTGTGTTGTGTGTGTGTGTGTGTGTGTGTGTGTGTAATGTGTGTGTAACGAATCTCCGCAATTTTCGATGGATTTGCAAAAAATTTACATGCACATTTCAATTTGTAGGAAGGCCAAGACCGACGTTGAATTTCACAACTCCCATCGATAGTGGAAATTATCGATAGGCAATGCTTACCGGGGTTTTCATGTAGTTTATACCATTTCTACTATATTTAGTGACACACTTATAGCTGGCTATTTACGAATGGCAGGAAGATTCTATTGGCCAGTAAAAGCAACAGCTGAATGACACGAATGTTAACTAGCATGTTAGCAAAAAAAAAAAAAATCGATAGCTGCATTCGTCATTAAGTGGGAAAAATTTAAATCTGCATCGCACTTTACTCCAATTGGCTCATTCGCTTTTTAAACTCAACGTTGATTCTGATTCCGCAGAAAATTTATGTGTATTTATTTAATTAACATTCTTTTTCATTCTTTTTTCAGTTAGAGTCCTTTTTTAAAGCTGATCGTTTTGTGTTCATTTTCTTTAGTTCTTTTTTTCGTAACAGATTTAAATGTTTAGTATAGAGCTTAGAAAAAATTCGCAGTGTGAGATAGACAAGAAGTAAGGCATGTAGCAACATCAGCACGGCACAAGGGCACTATTTTAAAGGCAAGGAAGGCAAAAATATTTTTAAGTCAAGTGATAGCGATTGCTGTATGAGTCATACGATTTTTTAATCAAGCTTTGGGGCATCGCCGGCCCATGCTGCTAGTCTATTCTAAAATTCTAAACACAAATTGCCATTTTCTTCTAATACAGACATAAGAGGTTCATCAATCCATTTTGTGTACTGGATTATTGGTGAAGAAGATTCCTTAAAATGGCTTTAGAAGAAAAATTGAATAGTATAATTGATCGTTTCCCACATAAAAATTTTTTTTTTGCAATTTCTCTATGTAAGTTTAATTATGTTTTTTTGTTTTTTAAAATCTTTTGAGGAATAACAAAAGTTTCCTAAATAACTTTCCAGGATCTTTAATAATAACCCCATTAAGCAAAAAAATATTCCAGGGTTCATTCATTGTATTCCTTACTGGACAAATACAATATGGCTCTTTTGAATTATCATTTTTTTCTTTAAATAGGATAAACAGATTTGGGCCCTTTCGGTTTGGTTGACAATTTTCTAAAAATAAATATATATATTCAAATAGGCCATATGGATTCAATTTATATTCAGGCAATCGTTATATCGAAAATTCAAAATAAAAAATTCATCATAGGTTGTCGGGATCAATATAAATAAATATAAATTTATAAGGGATAAAAGTCAGAACTTTAAAGATGGAAATATTATTTAAATTTATAAATGAAAAGATAATTTTTAATTAAAAAATCCCTAAATGTCAAAATGGGAAAAAACAAACTTGATAGATAGATGATAGATAGAATTCATCGAACGCAGGACGGAGATAGATTGAATGAGTAGATAGATAGATAGATAGATGATGTATCATTGATATTTTTAGATGGGAAAATGTTAGAAAGATAGATTGATAGAAATTATAATGTGAGTATAGACCAAATGAATAGATAGATGGGAAGATTGATTCAAAAATTTGGATTGAGATTGTTTTAAGATAGATTGGATTTGATAGGAATAGATAGATGATTAGATAAATAGATATGGACCCACCATAATAGGAACATATTTTTTAGATATATGAAAAGAAGAAATCCATCTAATGATCTTTGCCGGCACCATTTTCAATCGATACCCTCAGTCACCCTCATTTTCCCTTCTTACTTCCATCCTCCAAATTTGTATTTAAACAGACAAGATTCTAATCAATTGATTGCCCCCAATTCAATTTACAAAACTACATCTATTTTTGATCTGTTTGCACATCCCTATCGTGATAAAAAAATCGAACATTTTATTAAAAGTGTTCGCTTCTCCATCACTTTTTTCATCTGGTTTGCTGACTTTAAATTCCATTAGTTCAAACTCACAGCTGGTGCCTTTGTTTTAAGACAAAAACAGAATCACATATTCTGATTGAATTCTTTTAATACCAAGTTTTTGGCGCCAATTACATTTTCTGATTTCATGGAAAATTTTATCAAACTGTACATTCATAGTTTTTCATCATCGTCGTCATTTAGGGAAAACTTTTGGGCTATGGTCTATTACTACCACAGATACTTCTTCTTGAATTTATCTGCGAAAAAGATTCAAGCAACCATTACGGACAAACTCATTAAAAAAGGTTACAGAATTTTTTTCCTCTGTAGAGACGTACCTTTAAATGTTGGGTTTCTTTTCAAGGAAGAAGAGCCCTAAATTCTTCAAAATTTTGATTTTCTTTCATTTTTCGACCTTTTTTTTTCATTGCAGGTCATATTCAATCCATAGTATTCTCAGCATCCTTCTGTAGAACCAATTTCTGTTGCCTGGATGCCTGAGATACTTGCAGAAAATTGTCCAGCATTTGCTGCCATATAGGGGACAGATTTTTTCCATAAGAGTTACGCACAGATTTTCTTTGTGATTTCTTAACTAAAGGTTTTTATTACCTAGTTGGAGAACTGAAAAGGCATCTTTCTCTATCATAATGAAACTCTTGAATTTCTGTGTATATTTCCGTTTCTGTTAAGATTTCCCAGATATTTAGTTTTCATTACTTCATAGATAGATAGACTTTCAATTCGTAAAGCAAAATTTGTAATTCTTCTTCTTCATCATCAAATCATCATCATATTATTATTATTATAATTTTCCTTCTTAAACACTTAATATCTGGCGTTTCCACATTGTTTTCTTTTTTTGTATTTTTTATTCATATCACCTTTTTTTTATTTCTTTGAAAGATTTTATCATTCAGTTTCTGCATTCTTTGTTTTTTCTTTTTTTTTTTTAGAAGTTTCATTTTTCACCTTGTATCTAATTTTTATTTCTTAGATCTCTTTTCTTAAATTTCTTCTTTTTTCATTTTAATCTAAGATTTAAATTTCTTTATTACAGCCACATCGCATTTTTTTTTCTTTTTCTTTCTTTCTGTTCAGATTTATCTATTTCTTTTTCTTACCCTTTTTCTTAGTCTTTCCTTTGTTTTCTTTTTTTTTTTCTTTCTTCTTAACCGAATCCATTTATTTTGGTTCTTTCAGTTTTTTTCTCATGAACTTTCGTTCTTTTTTTTTTTCAGAACTTCTCTTTTTTTCTTTCTACAAAGATTTTAGGAAAATGTTATGGGATTTTTTTTTTCTTTTTTTTCTTTTTTTTTTTCTTTTTTCTATTCAGTTTCTTTCTTATTCTTTTCTTTCTTTCTTTCTTTCTTTCTATTAAAGTTCTTTTTTTCTTTCTTTCTTTCTTTCTTCCTTTATTTTCTAAATTCAATCTTTTTTCTTTCTTTCTTTCTTTCTTTCTATTGTTTTCCTTTTCTTTTCTTTCCTTCTTTCTATTCAGTTCCTTTTCTTTTTTTGTAAATATCATTTCTTTTCTTTTCTTTTCTTCTTTCTTTCTTGAAAGGAAGAAGACTTTCTTTCTTAAAAAGTCCTTTTTTTTGTTTTTTTCTTTTTGTCTTTTCTTTCAATTTTCTTTCTTTTGTTTATTTCAAAATTTACAGCTAAACTTTAATTTTTAGAAGACATTTTTTTCTTTTCTTTCTTTGATTTTTTCTTTCTAATTTAAAATTTTCTTTTTTTCTTTCTTTCTTTCTTTCGTGTGTCAAGTCCTTTTTTTTTCTTTCTTTTTATTTTATTTCTTTCTTTCTTTTTTATTTTCTATTTTTTTTTTTCTTTCTTTTTTTGGGTTTTTCTTTCTTTTATTTCCTTAAATTTTTTTCTTTCTTTTCTAATGAATCTTTTCCATTTTTCTTTCGCTTTCTTTCTTTAAATTCATTTTCTTTTATTTCTTTTTCTTTCTTTCTACATTTACTTTTCTTTAATTCTTTCTTTCTTTCTTTCTTTCTTCAGTTCTTTTCTTTCTTTACACATTTATTTATTTATTTCTTTTTTCTTTTCTTTTTTAATTTTGTCTTTGGTTCTGTTTTTCTTTCATTCACTCGTTTTCAAACAGAGATTTTTCTAATTCTATTCGGTACTTTTCCTTTTTTCTTTCCTTTCTTCCTTCCGAAAGATAGACTCAGTCCATGTTCTCTTTGGAAATGGAAACATTTCTATTCAATCCTTTTCTATCTTCTTTCAAATCTCTTATTTTCTTTTTGTTTTTATTTATTTTTTATTATGGCATCTTAGAACCAAACTATTATTTATATATTGGCGAAATAACTCCCCCCTATAATTGTCTTTGGTCACTATCAAATCCTTAGCAAAATATCTTAAAACAAAAAAGATCTTAATATAAATTCTTCGACAATTGTATCTTAAAACACAACTTGTTTCATCGACTTCAAATAAAGCAATGTACATACTGAAAGCAAAATATGATATATTTTTTAACCCTAAAACCGAATGAGATTTATAAAAAAAAAATATTTATATTCATAGCGACAAAAATTATAATCTTGGATAACTGGTATTTTTTTTTCGGAAATAAAATAAACATAACTGATGGTTTCAATCAACTCAATTGACGATACGATACAGAGGATATATTTTGAAAAATAGATATTTAAGGATAAACACCGGTTTCTGTATGATACACCTTATAAGAACTGTTCGGTAAATGTAGTCTGACACAAGACAACCTACATCGGAGTCCCAAAACTAAGTATGAAACTAGTGGTATTTTAGTCTTATTAACTAAGATCTATGACATGTCCAGCTTTCTTTTCACTATTCTAGGGACCTCCACTGAATCTTTGATACCTAAATTTTAAAATTAATTTTTAAAAATGAAAAAAAATAGGGAAGATTTCATTTTTTAGCTTTGGTGGAAACAAAATGATTAAATTTTCTCTTCCCAGTACTTAAATAGAGAGAGTAACATTTTAAATAAACATTACATTGGACTATCAAGGATAGAGTGGGATTTAACAAATTTTCTTAAAGCGGCCATTTCAGAACACGGAGAATGGTAAAACATGACAATAACATCGATTTAAAAACCTTCCAAAACAAAGAGAGAGAGAGAGAGAGTGACATGTTATTTGAGTAAAACTAGCAAATTTAAATTTAAATTAATCTGATGGAACAAAAATTACTTATATATAAAAAATTTAGTATATAAGAACTTTAAACAACAGATCCCACTTTTGATCATGTATTTGACATTACAGTAGAGAGGGAGGAACCGATGACAGTAGTATGGAGGACCATATTTGACATAAAAAAGGGAAATGTACAATGAACGCATTTTTTATTTTTAAGTACCTAGTAATTTTTGTAAATTAACATAATATTTTCAGCAATTATTTAATATTTTGTTGACTTTTAGTTACGCTTGATGATGTTTTACGAAAAAATAATACAATTGAAAAAAAAATATAAAATTTTCATAGATTAATTTAAAAATTAACTAACCGACATAAAATACCTCTGTACAGAAAAAATCAATAATTTATTCAATGTTACAGTCTTTTATTTTTTTTAATAATTTTTATCATGATGTTTATTTCATTATTAAATTTTAATAGTACTATAATAGTATTATAAACATAATTGGAATTTTTGAACGGATGATTTCTAAAGACATTAATGGTGAAAAGGGGTATGAAAGAAAGTGTCAGAAAGATACATAAATCAAAGACTTTCAAAAGATTGTGTCATGTATAGCTTCTCATTAGGTAATATGAAATGAATAAAAATAAAAAATTTTTTAACTTTTTTTTTTTAATCTGGTGGCTCAAAGGATTGTGGATTTTTTTAAATTTTGATTCTATAAAAAATTGCATTTTTCTTTCATAAAAAAACCAAAATGTCTCAGTTGAAATTTGAAATTCATATTTTCAAACGATTTTTTATTACCATAGAAATTGTTTGGTGTATCAAATCGTTCTCTCCCTCATCCCTTCCAATACAACTAAGATGATCCATTATCTCGTGCCTCTGCTTTTCTCTCACCCTATAGACCCTGTATCTTCTCATTCTCCCCTCATCCCTTCCAATACAACAAGATGATCCATTATCTCTCTCCCTCTTTGGTCTTCTCTCCCTTTTTCCTGTATCTTCTCATCTCATTCTCTTTTCATCCCTTCAATACAACTAAGATGATCCATTATCTCATGCCTCTATTTTCTCTCACCCCTTTTCCTGTATCTTCTCATTCTCTCCTCATCCCTTCCAATACAACTAAGATGATCCATTATCTCATGCCTCTGGTTTTTCTCACCCTTTTTCCGTATCTTCTCATTCTCTCCCTCATCCCCTTCCAATACAACTACAAGATGATCCATTATCTCTCACTTTTCTTTCTCACCCCTTTTCATGTCTTCTTCTCTCCCTTATTTTACAACTAAGATGATCCATTATCTCATGCACTCTTCTTTTTTCTCTTCACCCCCTTTTTCCCTTCTCATCCCTTCCAATATAACAAAGATGATCTCATGCCTCTGCTATTCTCTCATATATCTTCTCATTCTCCTAATCCTAAATCCTTCAGAAGATCCATTATCTCATGCCTCTTCTTTTCTCTCACCCTTTTCTGTATTCATTCTCCCTTATCCCTTCCAATACAACTAAGATGATCCATTATCTCATCTTCTTCTCTCACCATTTTTATGTTCTTCTTTTCTCCTTCATCCTTCAATACAACTAGATGTGGTCTCTCTTGCCCTGTTTTCTTTCATCCTCTTCTCTTTATCCCTTCCCTTACAACCAAGATGATCCATAATCTCATACTTCTTGTCTTTTCTCTTTCCCTTTTCTGTATCTTCTAATTCTCTCTCCTTATGTCCCTTCCCAATACAACTAAGATTATCATTATCTCATGCTTCTTATTTCTTTTCTCTCTTTGCTTTATATGTATCTTCTCTGTCTCTCCCTCATCCCTTCCAATACCAAAGATGATCCATTATCTCATGCCTAATCTTCTCTCACCTCAACCTGAATCTTCTCATTCTCCCCATCCCTTCCAATACAAATAAGATTGATCCATTATCTAACCCTCACTCTTCTCTCATCCCTCTTTGCCTGTATCTTCTCATTCTCTCCCTTATCCCTTCCAATACAACTAAGATTATCCATTATCTCATGCCTCTGCCCTTCTCACCTTTGCCTGTATCTTCTCATTCTCTCCCTTATCCCTTCAATACAACAAAAGATGATCCATTATCTCTCATGCCTCTGCCTCTGTATCTTCTCATTCTCTGCCTCACCCTTTACCTGTATCCATTTCTCATGCTTCTTCTTTTCTCTCACCCTGCCTGTATCTTTCATTCTCTCCCTCATCCCTTCCAATACAACTAAGATGATCCATTTATCTCATGCCTCT